CAGCCACTCGGGCCAGAGCAGCCCGAGAGCGCCTGATCGAGCGGAGGCGGGCACATTCCTCTTTATGTCTTTCAATTTTTTTTTTACTTCTTTTTATTTTATCTTTCAGTGGCTGACTTCCCCCACCCCCCTTTCCTGTCTACTTACTACCTCCCATTTCGTTACACACCCTCATCTCATTTCCTGTCTACCTCCTACCTCCCATTTCGTTACACACCCTCATCTCTTCCAGCTTTATGTTCCTGTCTCCCCCACCACACTAACCCATCTCTCACACAGATCCCCATCGGGAGCAGGGGTAGAAGCCTGTCCTGGCTTGCCAGCCCTGTAGTGGCAACTTGTAGCTGTAGGCTGTAGCTCAGGGGTGGGCAAAATGCGGGCCAGGGGCCAAATACAGCCCGCCAGGCCATTCTAGCTAGCCCGCAGGGCCCCTAAAAAATTTAGAAAATTAATATCTATCTGCCCTGGGCTGCCTGTCATGCGGCCCTTGATGGCTTGCCAAAACTCAGTAAGCGGCCCTCTGCCCAAAATAATTGCCCGTCCCTGCTGTAATTCCTAGTCGGTCTCCTACTTGCCAGCCCTCTAGTGACAAGTCAGCGCTGTGCAGCTGGGGGACAGTCAGAGAAGGCTTTTAGCCTCAAGGTATGACTGCTCAAAGCTCAAGCTGAGCAGGTCAAAGTGCAACATGTAACAAGGCCCTTAAATTTTTGCACTACACAACCACAATTTCATAATAAGTAGTAAAGAAAATGAACTCAACATACTTACATGTCAAAATGCTATCTTTAGTGCTGATGTAAAGTTTTACAGTTTTAAAGGTTCTTTTGAAAAATAGGAGCTTTTAAATAAGCCATTCAGCTCCAGAAAAAAATAGTAAAAAATTACACTGTACTAATAGTAAATGTAAATTTCCTCTGGTTGAAACATGAGCAGATTACCATGGTGATAACTTAACAGGGTCTAAACTCATTCCTGCCTGATCCTGGTTAGCCTGGGAGACCCAATAATGTATCAACTGTACTTACAGGAGGTCCTGCGGGGGGAGAAAAAGAAAAAAATATATAAGTTTATGAATTTACCAAAGAAAGCTTAATCTGCATGAAGCCAAACATTAAAACTTATGGTTAAATTAGATTTTTTCATGCAAAATATTACTTTTTGAGACTAGTAGTAGTAGCAACATCTTGCCATTAAACAGTTTCTCTATCAAAGAATGAAATATTTTCATGCAATCTCAAGCGAATTCTTCATTTGTTTTCAAGCAGCCTTATGCCAGACTAAAAATATTGACTGCATACAATTTGTTTTCTCAGATTCCACACACGCATATATTTTATAAATCTATAAGTTTCAATTGACTAACTGAGCATTAAAGTTGCATCTTGTCTTCAGAATTGCACATTTTTTTTACCCTTGGCATTTAACCTTGGCATCAAGACAGAAATATTTATATCTAGATTTTCTTACCATCCTTCTTTGCCAATAAGAAGTAGTATCATTGGTCACCTGACACTACAAAACTTTCTTTTCATCACTTCCTTTCTCCAAGACACACTTATAAAATGGTCCCTATTAAAATGTCACACTTTGTGAAGTGATATTTGCACATTTTTTCAATTATTTAGACTCAAAGGCTTTTGTACGGAGTTCTTGAGAACATTATCAAAGGCTGCAAATCAAATCTACTATTTCAGTCTTATTAAGCAGAGCAGCTGCAGCTCCCAAGTCAATGGCATTTCATTAGCTTTTATGCCTCTCTCTTACTTCTGACTAAAGTGAGGTGCAAAAGGGGTATAAAATAGCAACAGCTGTACTTTCAGCTTGCTTTTGATATTGTCAGGCTTTCATTTTTAACAATGCAATTTTATTGTCTAGTAACTAAGGTAATTTCTTTAGATTGGTAAATATTCTGAAAGAACATTTTAATATACAGGGTCTGTTTCTAAATGCAAGAGATCAAATTCCTTTGTTAATATTTTAATATGTGTTTATTTGATGTGTAAAAAGAATGGATAAGCAGACTTCAAGGTAGGTTCTAAGATCATCCGAAAAGTCAGAATCCTTTGTAAAGCCATTACATTACATTAGTAATTGCCTCTACATAGTTTTTTCTTGTTTGTTTGTTTTTGCAGCAGGTATCACAAGCTGATTATATATCAAATGAAAACAACATCAGCTGGACTCTTAGCAGAGCTTGGCTTTATATTGTCTATACGAGGCAAAAAAAAATATTTTAACACCCAAAACCAAGTTCTAATTTACATCTACAAGAAAGACTAAACAATGGATTACTGTGAAGAACTAACATTATTTATAAGAATTACATAGATTGTGGGTTCCTCCCACCCTGGTATATTAAATCAGAGATCAGCAAATTCATCTGAAATGCCCATTTTCTCTGCTGTCATGTCATCTTCATAAAGAGCTCAATCCTGCAAGATGATCAATACAGTATTTTCAGCTCTCATTGATGAACACAGAAGATGAATGTGTCAAATATTTTTCAGGCTTAAGCCCCAAATGAAGTTTCAAGTCCCATCCCCAATGTCAGCATTTCAGTATCTGTGTGGCATCAGCAAACTTTCAGCTACCAACACAATCCAGTACCAAATGGATTTTAATTCTGGAGCTTTGCCTCCTAAACTCTGCAGACACACAATAATGAACAATGTGGTTCTATACATTTTAGTCAGCTTAGCGCATTATTTCTCCAATTGCTGACATAGTAAATTTTTTTAATTCCTCATGAAATTATTGATTGTTAATTACTACAATTTTCCACTGTAATTCTATTAACATCAGTGGAATTGTTCTGATTGGCACAGGTGTAAGTGGGAGGAGACTCTCTACACCCGTGGTTTTCAACCTGTGGTTTGTGGACCCCTCAGGGTCTGCAGACTACATTTAAGGGGTCCGTGAAAGGTGACTTTGATCAATCAGAAGTATGTGAATACCCACGCTTACAATTCAAAGGGGTCTGGCACCTCCATTCAACATTTCCAAAGGGGTCTGGCACCTCCATTCAACATTTTTTAGGGGTCCGCAAATGAAAAAGTTGATAACCACTGCTGTATACTGAAACAATTTTGGCATTACTAATAACTAGTTTTTATATCAATTTGGTAATATTTCAGATGGGAAACAATTTAGGAGGCCATAAGTTATATGCCAAGGATTATAAAACTTGTTTTAGAAAAAATTTAGAGACCTTTTCTTCCTGTAACTCCACAGCTGATAACAAAACGAAGGCATGCTGGGTTCAGGCCCTCCCTTAAGAACAAGAACAACTCAAAACAATAGTTGAGTCGTCATCTATCAAGGAAGATGACAGCTCCATTTGTATACAATGGGCAAAATCCTAAGTGAAAAATTTCAAAAAACATAAACTAAGATCCTCCAAAAATGACAAACTCACCTGTCTCTCCTCTTCTGCCCCTCTTACCTCGTTTCCCTGGAGGGCCTGAAAAGCAAAGAGTTTCTGATTTGTAATTTTGCAATTGTATATCTTTCTTCAAATTGGATAAATATAAAATTAATGTTAGATAAAATAGTGTTAAACAAATCCATAAAAGTCCACATCTTGGCGTGGTTTTAATTGTCCAGTGCAAAGTTTCTAAGATACAAGTTCGGAGATTCAAGGAGATTCAGGCTACATGGGCTGTTAGATCATCTATACCATAGGTTATTAACATCTATTTAGCTACTCCTGTATTGAGCCCAATAACTTGTGTTCAACTAAAGCTTATTTTCTAGAAAAGCATCCAGTCCTAATTTCAAGATATCATGGCATAGAAAATCCATCACTTCCCTTGGTAGCTTATTTCAATGATTAATAATCACCTTCACTGGTAAAATTTTGTATCTCTACTTCTTATTTTGTTTGGCTTACTCTTTCAGCCATTGGTTGTCTAGCTTTCCAACACCTGTTAAATTGAGGACATCAGAACTTCATGCAGTCTATTCCTTCTTTCTCACACTCCTATGTACAGGTACGAGTGGAAAGAATGTACTATATACTTGTAACTACCTGTAGTGCAGATAGGAAGAGATTGGCGAGCTATGGTGTAGAGATTCCTAATGAGATGAGAAAAGTAAATGGCTGCTGGTCAGAGGGGGGAGAAATAAGGCTGTGATCTTTAAAAAAAGACTAAGGCACTATACTACAGTGTTTCCCAACCTCTTCCAACCCAAGGCACACTTACATTAATAAAAATTTCTGCAGCACACCTGTTAAAGCATTCCCATCTCCATACTTAAGAGCTCACTGTAGCTCATTTGCTGTGGCACAATTTGACAGTACACCTGTTCATTTCTGACAGCACACCATTGTGCCATGGCACACAGGTTGGGAAACACTGGATTAGACTGTTTAGGATGGGATTTTCAGAAGTACCTAAGATTTAGGAGCACAAGTGTCACTGACTAGCTGTGGAACTTGTTTTAGGAGCTTTTAAAAATCCCCAAAACAAGTGAAATTTAATCAGAGTTTGATGTTTAACTCCTTCAAGCTTTTCTGAAAATTCCACTTGTCAGCTCTACCTAGGACTCATCCTGGAGTGGTGCAGCCTCTCATCCTCGAGTACAGTAAGCAGGTAATCTTGCTAAATGTAATTCAGCAATTTGCAATTTGGATTGCAAATTATTTAGCTGGTCTTTCAAGTGTTCACATGAAAAGCTCTCTTCGCCATAAGAACATCCATTAGAAGTATGTATCTAATGTTTGTTGGGTACATTGACATATTTTTACCAGTCAAGTACTCTCCTTAGTCTCTGTACAGACCAGTAAGAAAGAACAGTTACGCTGTTAAAGAGAAGGCCAGCTGTCAGGCCTGTGTGAAGCAGCTAGTATTCGCTTTGGATTTGGCTGATTCGAGGGACAGTGATTCAATTCGGTGATTTGAATCACTGTCCTGATTTAATTCAGCCAAATCTCTGAATCAGACAGGCCAGGCCCATCCCCTACCCCTCCCGCCCCAGCTCCCAGCACTTGGGGGAAAAAAAGCCCCGACTCAGCAGGTGCTGCTGGGCTGGGTCAATCCCCACTGCCCCCCACTGCATGGGGGGGCCCCCTCGAGTTGTCCCTGCTCACCTGCCTCCACCCAACGACTACCCCACCTGCCAGGGCTCCGGCCCTTTAAGAAAAAAAGAAAAGCTGAGAAAAGCCCTGGGACTCCTTGCTCCTGGTGCAGCCTTGGGGCCTCAGGGGCTCATGCAGAGTCCCCCACATGGTGTGGGGCAGCAAGGAATCACCCCCGCCGGCAAGAGCAGTGAGTCCCAGGGTTTCTTAAGGTTTTTTTTCTTAAAGGGCCAGAGCTGACCCATGCGGGGCACCTATGAGGGGGCTGAGGGAGCACTTTGGGGGCTTGTGGAAAGGCCCCCATTCAGTGGGGGGCAGCGGGAATTGACCCCGCCTGGCAGCACCTGCTGAGCCAGGGCTTTTTTTCCCCCAAGTGCTGGGAGCTGAGATGGGCAGGGCATCCATGGCTGCAGCTCCCTGCTGCAGCCACCGGGAACTGCCTGAATCATCAAAGCTCTCCAAATCTTTGCCAAAGATTCAGAGAGCTTTGAATCGATTCGGACCTTTAAATTGGCTCCCTGATTCGATCCAGATTCAGAGATTCGGCCACTGATTTGGGTCAAATCTCCAAATCAAATCACCGCCCAAAGCGTCACACAGCCCTACCAGCTATCAGGAGGTTGCAGCCCCTATTTGCTATTGACTTCAATGGTAAGATTACATACTAGTATGTCAATCCTGCAGGCCCAGAAACTGGTACAAGAAGCAAGGGAGAGTTTCCACTGTTATATAGAAAATCATAGGAGTTAGGGTCACAAGTCAGTGAGCCAAAGGGAGGGGAAAGGGGGTGCATCTACACAAGATGTTTCATAGATTCATAGATTGTAGGGCTGGAACAGACCTTGGAAGATCATTGGATCCAGCCCCCTGCACCAGGCAGGAAAGACAACTGGGGTCAAGTGATGCTAGCAAGGTGACTGTCCAGTCTTCTCTTGAAGATATCCAGGGTAGGCAATTGCACCACCTCTGGAGGGAGCTTATTCCACAGTCTGGACACTATGACTGTGAAGAAGTTTTTCCTAATGTTGAGCCTGAAACAGTTTTCCAGGAGTTTCTGGCCATTATTCATGGTTTTCCCCAAGGGCGCCCTAGTGAACAGTTGTTCGCTGACCCCTTGATGTACTCCCCTGATGTAGTGGTAAGCTGCTACTAAGTACCCTCTAAGCCTTCTCTTTTTCAGGCTGAATTGTCCCAGGTCCTTCAGCCTCTCCTTGCATGGCTTTGCTGTGCAAGTCTCTGATCATATGGGTGGCCCTCCTTTATACTCTCTCAACTTTTACCATGTCCTTGTTAAGCCATGTTACTGCAGAGTAGACTAATGAGCTCCACAGTAAACATCTTGCATCTACGTGTGTGGCCCTATTAGCTTGCAGGAAACTAATTAACTATGCAGCAGGGTATCTTGCGGAGTTTTTTATTCTGCAGCACTGCCTGTGTAGACACTGACACAGCTGCCTGGGGCACAAGGTTGTTTCAGTATGGAAGCTGCCTGCTGTACTTTCCCTAACTAGCCCTGCACTGAAGTACCTTTGTGCCCCAGCTGCCAGCCCCTCTGGATTACGCTGACCCAGGTCGGAGCAGCCCTGGGCTGGCAGCCTGACCCCCAGCCGAGGCTGTTACGACCTGGCTCAGTGCGCTACAGTTCCAGGTGCACATGTAAATATGGAACCTGGGGGCAATAAACTCTGGCACAATGGATGCCAGAGTTTATTGCTTCACCTTAACAGCACGTGTAGATGCACCCAGGTAAAAGATAAAGAAACATCAGCACTGTGGTAACATACATTCAGCACCTTAATTCCCCCCAACACACACTTCTGGAGGTGTCCCCAAACAAGCCTGTAGTCCAGGGGTTTTCAGCTTTTAATCTAAGTACCCTCAGCAGCCTGCAGCTGCCTCCAAGTCCAGTTCCTTTAGTCCACAGTCCTGGCTGACCAAGCCACTGTGCACTCCTCTGTGTAGGGCTGACCAGGTTCTACATGCACACTGCTCTCTTGTCCCCTTACCCCAGCATCAATCTTCCTCTTCCTTTTTCCCTTGTACCCCCCATCCCTGGGGGTTTTTGGGAGTTGTAATCCAAATTAACAGTCAGCACAGCTTTGCAGACTTTCATGTTACTCTAGGAACCTAAATATGGATTTAAGTACATAGGGCATTTATACATGTGCTCTGGGAGTGGTGGGGGGGAGCACTTAAGCAACCAGAGTGGTATATGTATCAGCATCCCTGCACTGAAAAATGATGGCATGGGCGCTCTAAAGCCATTTTTCAGCACATGGAGTAATTACCATGTTCCAGCAGACTCGATTAATCGAATGGGATTAATCGAGTCTGCTCCAATACACTGTAATTACAAAGCATCAGAGCAACCTCACTGCACTGCACTGTATAGGTGCCCTTAATCTTCAGCACTTGTGTTTAAAAATTTTGTCTAGCTTCACCATGCACCTACCTCCTCTTCTGGAAAATATCAAAATGGATAATGAGGATAATACCTTTCTGCCTCTGTAAGCCATAATTAATTCATGTTTGCAAATATTTTGACATCTTTGCTGCTGTTGGCATGCAAAGCTTTGTCATTATTTATATGTATAAGTCCTATTGACTTTTAGTAAACACTACTGGATTCAAGTCATAAACATTCACACCATATTCTGTGGCATTACAGAGGATTATAAATTTTATTTGAATTAAACCAGGAGATAGAAGAGGAACAGAGAAGGAAGGATATATTTTTATTAGTACTTTTATTTCTAATAAGTATTTGGTTTGTCACCAAGTATATCCTCCTAGCAAGCCATGTACTGCCATTAATGCCAATTATTTTTCCTTTTGAGAGAGAGAGAGAGAGGAAGAGGAAGTGGGGGGGGAAGAGAGGGAGAGGGGGAGGACAGGTTTATAAATCTATCATATTCTGGAAGGAAAAGGGCAATAGGGTACAAACCTGAAAGAGAAAATGCTTTGGTTCAAGCAAACTATTCAAAGTGGTGTTCAGACTTGAGCAATACTATATGTCAGACTTTATTTGTTTCTATTATGTGCAGCTTTATTATCAGAGAAAAAATTTGGACATTATTTCATCCTCCATGAAACCTGACTTAGAACTTGGAAAAACATAGATTTGTCTGATGAAATTAGAAGAATGCAAGCCTACTGCATTACTGTTGACCAGCAGAACCATTCTGGCAACTAAGAAACTTTTTAAGAAACAGGTCTCACACAAATTAAAGGCTCAAAAACATAAGTGTAAATATATTTTAATAGCAAATTTAATAATGAAATATGGATAAGATGTAAATGACCACACAGTACAGATAAGGCATATCAAGCAAAAGATAGATTTTTAAAGTGTGCATTCATCTAAAAAATAAAAATTCTACTGG